CATCTGCTTGTCCTTCCCTGCAGAGCCAACAGCAGCAAGGCCAAACCAGAGACCCCACGGACCCCCAGCAGCCCCTTCGCACCCAGCCCCTGCTTCCTGGCCCCCTGTTATCTCACAGGGGACTCAGTGAGGGACAAGTGCATCGAGATGCTGACAGCCGCCCTCCGCATGGATGGTGAGTGAGTCCTGGGGTGCTGGAGTCCGACCTGGGCTGTTCCTCCTATGGGGCAGCCCTAAGAGGAGCAACCCTACAATAACAAGCAACACTCCGCACCCTGGGACAGCAAAGTCCCCCTGGCCCAAATGCATCAGTGTTCAGCCCCAAAATGCGAGTAAGGGAGGTTGGTAGAGTCTCCAGTAAAGGGTTGGATGTGGGGATGGACTCTCTGTGAGGGTCAAGATGGGTTAAAATAGGTTGTTTAGGGATGGGGTGCCTGGGACAAGTGGAGAGGGAGAATTGAGATCTTTCAGGGGGTATTTCTCGGTGCATGGGGAGATGGGGCTGGTTTCACATCTGAAAGTCACCCCTCGTCCTCTCTGCCCTTTAGATGACTACAAGGAGTTTGGTGTCAACTGTGAGAAGATGGCATCGGAGATCGAAGACCATATCCTTTGTGGGGGCTGGGGAGTCCCCAGGCTTCACCTGGGCTCAAGAGTGGTGGTGGGGACAGGACAGGGGGCGACAGGGACACGGACAAGGACAAGGTGATGGGCTCTGCTGGCCCCGTTGCCTGCAGAGGGAGCCCAGAGCCTGGTTAGAGGATGATGCTGAGCAGAGCATCCTCTGAGTGCCTGCACTGGTCCAGGGGTCTGTGCATCTCCCCAGACCCCTCTGTTCAGGGATCTGCCTTCGTCCTTGGGGGAATAAAACCCAACCCCAGCCAAAGCGTCCTCTTTGTCCCTGCTGTGAGTACCCATGTTTCTTGCCAGCCCTGGTCCATCACAGTGCCCAGGCTGTGCCATGTTGGCAGAGATGGAGCCACCTCCATTCACCCCCAGCTCAGAGCAGCCCCCCAAGACCAGGACCAGCCCCAAGGTGGTTTCCCCTCCTGGGTGCGCTCTTTAGTACAACCCAAACTGTGGCTGTCAGATGGTGTGAGGCAACGTGGTTGTTTCCCTCCCCACATCCCAAACTGTTCTTCACCCTCCAAAGCCCAAGGAGGAGAAGACCCTGCCATGTGGTACCTCAGGGAGCAAAGCCCTCTTGAAATGGGCCACCTCCACATGCACGTGGGCCCTGGTGACAACCAGCACCAACAAACCCCGAGCAGCAGCGGGTGCCCACAGGGCTGGCATCCCCCCTCACCTCATCCCCCCTCACCTCATCCCCTCAGTTCCTTGACGCACCCCACATATCTTCCAGGAGCTGAAGAGCACGGACATGAAGTATCGCAACCGGGTGCGGAGCAGGATCAGCAACCTGAAGGACCCCAAGAACCCCAGCCTGCGGAGGAACGTGCTGTGTGGGGCCATCCCGCCCAGCCTCATCGCCCGCATGACCGCCGAGGTGGGACACAGCGCCCGGCTCTCATGGACCATGTCCATGCTGCCTCCCCAGCCTCTGCTCTTGGAGGCTACGTTGGTGCCCAAGGGCTGGCAAGGTCTTGGTGATGCTTGTCCCAGCATCTCCCTGACCCACCCTAGTGCTGGCTGGGGAGCATCAGGCACAGGAAGGAAGCAGGAGGCACTGCCTGGTGCCACCAGAGCCCTGAAGCCCCCAGCCCATCGCAGTGTGGGATGTCACCAGCCACACTTGAGGGTCCCCATTCCCTATGGAAGGATGTTCCTCACATCCAGCCTGTGGGAACTCAGCTCCCTCCATGGGGGGCCAGCTCCCTGCAGGCAGCAGTTTCAGTTTGAGGACGGGGTGATCTCATTGGGGTGATCTGGATGGGCCGGAGCCCTCCAGCAAAGCACAGAGCAGGATCAGTGCTGGTCCTGGAGAGGATGGGGAGGGTGCTGGACCACGGCGGCTTAGCTGCAAGGCCCCGGGAGAGCCACAGCAACACTGACCCGATGCCGGTGGCAGAAAAAAAAACTGCGGAATGCCATGACCCAGGAGGCCATCCGGGAGCACCAGATGGCCAAGACAGGCGGCACCGTCACCGACCTCTTCCAGTGTGGCAAGTGCAAGAAGAAGAACTGCACATACAATCAGGTGAGCCCCGCAAAGTCCCCGGGGTCCCCCCTGTTCCCAGGGGACCCAGTTTACAGAATCAGAGAGTCATGGAATTGTTTGGGCTGAAGGGACCCTAAAGCTCCTCCAGCTCCAACCCCTGCCCCGGGCAGGGGCACCTTCCACTAGAGCAGGTTGCTCCAAGCCCCTGTGTCCAAGCTGGCCTTGAACACTGCCAGGGAAGGGGCAGCCACAGCTTCTCTGGGCACCCTGTGCCAGCGCCTCAGCACCCTCACAGGGAAGAGCTTCTGCCTCAGAGCTCATCTCAGTCTCCCCTCTGGCAGGTTCAAGCCATTCCCCTTGTCCTGTCCCTACGAGCATTTGTCCAAAGCCCCTCTCCAGGTTTCCTGGAGCCCCTTTAGGCGCTGGAGCTGCTCTAAGGTGTCCCCTTGAGGAGCCTTCTCTTCTCCAGCTGCCCCAGCCCAGCTCTCTCAGCCTGGCTCCAGAGCAGAGCTGCTCCAGCCCTCGCAGCAGCTCCGGGGCCTCCTCTGGCCTCGCTCCAGCAGCTCCACGTCCCTCTTGTCGTGCCGCAGAGGGTGGACACAGGGCTGCTGGAGGGCTCTCCTCTGACCCCCTCCTGCTCCTCCCCAGGTGCAGACACGCAGCGCTGATGAGCCCATGACCACGTTTGTGCTGTGCAACGAGTGCGGGAACCGCTGGAAGGTCTGTGCCCGGCTCCGGGTGCCCCAACCCGCCCCCAGCCCGGGGGGGATGTCACAGACCCCCCAGAACGGTGCCGGGGGCTGGGTGAGGGCTCACCCTCTGCTTCTCCTGCAGTTCTGCTGATGGTGCCAGCGATGGGGCCGGAGGGGACGTGGTGTGAGGATGCTGTGACAGCCACATTGGGGTGCGGGGCCAGGGTGATGGGCTCCGGTCCCCACGCCCCAGCTCCCTGTTTCCTTGCACCCCAGGAAGCTGGGCTCTGGCAACGGATGGGTTTGCTTGAGAAGACCCTGGTGAATTCAAGTGGTTCCTCCCTGTAAATACCTGCCCTTTGCTTGAGGTGTGCTGGGAGCCCACTGTGAACAGACGTATCCTTAGTGAGGGAGACTGGTCTGTTCACAGACAGGAGGGACATTCCCCATGGATGTGGGGTTGTGCCACTGTCCTGGTAACCAGAAGTGGGAAATGCCCAGGTTTTAACCCAAACACCTTCTTCCTCACCTAAGTGCACACAGCGGGAGGACACGGAGGGAGACAGGGTGGTTGTAGGGTGTCTGGTGGGATGTCACCATGTCCCTGCACTCTGTGACGCATAGACCATCCATCCTGGTTTAAAGACACTAAAAGGAGGAAGGAAGAAGGGATAGGGGGGGAGGGAGGTAAGAGGAGTGGGTCAAAACCCTCCAGCTAAAGCAATAAAGGTGTGAACTGCCTCTGCAGCCCAGACTGCTTTCTGCAGGGTGTTGGGACCTGTGTCCCCATTCACTCTTTCGCC